ACGTTTCCTAATGTCCTACCAGCAGTATGCATTATTTAAAGTATTACACACTGATTTGCAAATGTGGAAGAATTAATAATTGTCATAATTTACATATTTGTACCTTATTAGTCAGAGGTGTCCTGTTCATCCCCCCCACCAATGAAACGGCTCACTTTTTCCTCTTCTCCTGTGTTTTAATGGCACATTGATTTTGTGATCATCAGAGCAGCGCACTGACCTCTGCAGAAGTGGCAGAGCTGCAATAAAGAAAGCAGTGGGCCCCGGAGCGATTTGTAAGAGGTTTTTAAAAGCAGTGCATTGTTATTGAAAGTGTTCAGTTCACACTGCTCCTCACTTTCTTTCTGTTGATGTGTCTTTATCCACGTTTTCAATATCTTGCCTTTAATCCACACTTATAACAATGACCATTAATAGCTCTTGAAGGCAATGACAAGTAGAATAAGACTTGGTCAGATCATGCCTGAAAATGTTCTTGCATAGCAGCTTTTTTTGCAACAGCAACAAAGACGAAACATTGAAAGGTGCATTATTATGTAAGACCCAGCGGTCCTCAGGACATTTGTGGTCAGGTCAGAGAACACTTCTTCTACATGCTCCATTTATTTCAGACTCTGTGTCTTTAAAACCCGCTGAGGATTTAAAAAGAGCATCAGCAGTAGAGTTAGTATTAGTAGTGCTATTACTCTCTACTGCCTTCTGTGGTGGAGGGGAGGAGGAACAGGAAGACATTAGGGCTGAACGATTAATCGATTTTTCTTTCCTTGTGTGTCAGTCATCTACACCAATCAGAAGTGCTGTGCTCCACATGTACCAGCCATTGTTAACCAATCAGAAGTGGCCCATGATAGAAGGTGATAGACAGATTGATCCAATCACCTGCCAAGTATATTTGAAAGTCCCTGCCCTTTTCCAAATGGCTTCCAATGGAGCTTTCCTAGATGGTTTGGTGAACCATCTGAGTCAGGTTAGTAATGCTCCATCACATGTTTCTATTACAGGGTGAATCTTAAACTGAAGCTTGACTTTAACCCAACGGAAGTTTCATGTAAGTTTAGTTCTTTCACTCGTAGCTCGGGCTGCGGGGGTGCTAGAGACGGGAGCACGTTGATACAACCTTCCTAGCCGGAGATATGGCCGCATTTTACAATAAACTTCCGTTGGGTCGCTTAAAAACAAATATCGCAAATCGAATCGCAATCGCAATATCTGTCAGAGAAATCGCAATTAGATTATTTCCCCAAATCGTGCAGCCCTAGAAGACATACAAATAACCGCCTCCTGGACAATAAAGAACACACAGACAGGTACAGATGCTGGTGTGTTTAAGGAAGAGGAGTTATCAGTTCAGATCAAAGTCAAATGTTACAGTACAATACATTTTGTAGTTAGATTACTCAGTAGTAGTTACATTTCAATATCAGATATTCAGTTGCTGTAAGGTTTACACTTTTTACAGTTGCAGTCCTAAGTGGTACACAAAAAAAGACATGAAAGCATTTAAGGTACATGCAAAGTTGGTAAAAGAGTCAGAAGGTAGGACAAAATATATAATAATAAAAACAAACAAATAAAACAAAAAAACAGTATAAGATGAAATCATTTAATTAAGATCAAGTCAGAATAAAATCAAGCAGTAGCATGAATAACTAAACAATGTGGTAAAAGTGTGTTTGTTGCTATATTCTGCTACGTGAGAACAGAGGAATCCTCTATGTTGTAGGGATGAAGGTCAAAGGGCCGTCCGTGTGGATGGAAAGAAGAGATTTGATCTGGATTGGTAAATAACGTGCATTAGTTCAGATTAACTTGCAGTCTAATACATTAAACTGCAGCATAATCTGCATCAGCAGTTGGGAAAGGTGGGGGGGGGGGGTCAGGGGGCTGATCCTTAAACAGGCATCTATTTGTTTTCCTACTGAACATATGGACAGACGACATATATTTAGTAACAGCTAAGTGTCTGCTTTGTTCTCCGTTTGAACCTGTTCCCAATTTCCTGGATAATAAAAAATATTTAGCTGCACGGTTCTATTTATTTTCCTCCATGTACTACCACAACACTACATGCATCAGAGTGAGTGGGATCGTCCTGAAATAACAAGCAGAGAGGGGCGGGTTGGTTTCCTGCAGGGACCCCCCCCCCCCAGCCCCCTCCTGCAGGAGCGAGGTCAGGTGTCAGAGGCCGCACATGACGGAAGGGAAGTTTGAAGCTGGAGTTATTAGTCTTCAGTACGGGGGGGCCATAGGAGGGGGTTTACAGAATTCCTTTGCATGTTTTAATATGAGTGTACTGTGGCAGAACACCTGACACTATCATTTGCATGCAGTGCAGACTGAAGGTACTGAATTCATTCGAAATTCATATATTCCTGCTGACATTATTTTCCTATTGCTTTACAGAGGAGGGGGGCGGGGGGAGTCATTTAGTCTTTACCTCTGTTTTTAGTTTTGAAATATTTGTATTCATAGTAAAGATCATAGCCTGAAATATAGCTCAATTGGAATGGATTTATATCAAATGTGTGGTTTTCTTCAGGGTATGGTTACTTATTGTTTCCAATGGGAGAAAGTTGTCTTGCGTCAATACCAAACATCACAATATAACAGAGTAAATAGGAAAACACATGCAAACATTAGCCTTAGATAAAACTATCAAACTGTCCCAGGTAATGAAAGAAACTCACATCATCACTTCAGCATCATTCTAAAGGCCCGGACACACCAAGCCGATTTTGGCTTTTCGACACGCCCTACTCAGATTGGTGTGTCCCGCACCGTCGTGTCTTTTCAGCCGTGCCGACACCTTTTCGGCCGAAAACCCGACCCGGCAGTCGGCCAAAGGCTGTCGGCAAAATAAATCGCTCTGATTGGCTGTTCAGCTAGCGAATCAGTGCATGAGAAGCAAAACGGAAGTGAGGGACCCAAACAAACTATTAAGAAGGCAAATCTGAGATTTCATTTAACTCCAGCTCTCGACACAGGTTCGGGAAAGCCCCATGAGCTTCTTGCTGTAGAGTGAACATGGAACGCACACGCTATTTGTTGTTTGTTTATATCACGCAGTCTGTTCTTCTTCTCTCGGTTATCACGCAGTCTGTCTTCCGGTTGTTGCCTCTTTGCTTGGTGTGTCCGGGCCTTTACTCAACATTTCAATTCATTCTCATCTCTCATTCTCAATTAACTATTATTGTCTTCAATAAAACGTAAACAAATAAAGTGAACCTTTCAACTTACTAGTTTGTATTGATTGACCAAAAATAGAAAACCCAATAATATGTACAAAAAAGTACTCGTATGTGAATTTCTGCTCCGGGCGTGATTAAACAATGACCAAAATAGTATGGATTGACTATTCCTCCCCCACTTCACATGCTTTTCTGCTTTTCTTTGCTCACAGATTTCTCTCATTGGATCTGATTTCCATTGCTAGTGCCAAATCACTTGCAAAGTGCACAATAATCTGTACAGGGCTAGTCATTGTTGAAGGCAGGAGGCTAATGTAATACAGCATGCAGACTATGTCTGCCCTCATCTGACACACTTTCACATAATGTGTTGTTGTCTTTGATACTCGCCCCACTCAGACTCATCATTTATTAATCAGCTCTTTCCCTTGGAGGTAGAGAAAAGCTTTGTTGATGACTTTTCCATTTTTTCCTCGAGCAACTTCTATCCCATCTGATGTTAGCGATGATGAGCTCGGAATGACTCGTTGTGTCTCGGTTCATAAAGTGTATTTCATATAGGCTATACTTTATATGAAATATGGTAAAGTGAAGGGTTTATGAGACCCCAGCAGCAGTATGACCCCCCCCCTCCTTCCATTATATGTAATCCCCTCTCATATAATCCCGCCTCTTCTGTCATTTCTGCTCCTCTCAACCCCCCTCCCTCTGCTTTTCCTCTCTCTCTCTCCCCATCCCACTTCCTCCACCTTACGCCTGATGGAGCTTTCAGCCTGAATGCTGTGTGCAGCCGTGGCCTCATATCAGTGTGTTATGTGTGTGTGAGGGATCCAGAGCTGCATCGCTTCCTCTCCTGCTCTCTGGAATTGTTCTCCTCAAAGACAATCTGGAATGACTTGCTACCACTGTGTAGTTTCTTTGTTAGCGCGTGGGGTCAGCGGACATTGTTCCCCACTCTAATCTGAAACTGTGGATGTAGCCTAACCTCAGCCTATTGTGCTGCTTTGGAGTTGGTGTTGGATGGACGTTTTTTGGATTAAGATATTTTAAAGGGGTGTATACATTCCACACTGGATAAAATGGTGCCCCAAAAAAAGGTAATGTGAGTTTTGTGTGTGTGGAAGAGTGATTTTGTGAAAGAGGAGAGTTTCATGTGCATGGTGTAGCAGCAGTGATGTTTGTTGATTTCCAAGAAGGGTTGTTGCCTATGTGATAATGAAGCAAATGCTGTTTTAATTGGCACACAGATTTGAGAGTGAGCATGCTTTTGGGAATTAAAGGGAAGGGAAGGGGAGCTGTTTTGCAGAATCAACAAATAGGAGTCTTGGGGGTAGAGAAACTGAGAAAAGAAAAACAAGTGACTAGACTGAGAAGTTATCAAAATAAACGTTCTTATTGTTAGGTTTCATCTTGTCATTCTTATAATGAGTAGTTGATTGATTGTTCATTGACTAACAATAGGAAGTCCCTCTCATTGAAAGTTCTCCATTGTTGTCTTTGTGTGCTTCAATTGGGAGACGTTTAGTCTGACTGCAGCTTTAAAGGTGTTTGAACGATGTCATCACACTTAGGACATGTGACTCAATCAAAATAGAATAGTATATGAACATGTTGTATATTCAGCATGCCTTATTCTAATAACAAGTCAGTTAAAGAAGTGCTGCACAGAGGCCTAAACGTGACGCTCAAACTTTTCATCACCACAACCGCTTCCTGTGTCTTTGATATGAAACTGCTCTTTGTGCATGAGAGGCTCCTAGCAGTCGTAGAGTTCATTCTTGGGGCTTTTCTCAGAGAATCAGACAAACCTTTTTAGAGCTGGTGCTTCACTTGCTTGGTGTGCAGTGCTAGAGGGACTGTTACAGTAGCTGGAAGACTTCAGACATGGTGGAGGACAGGATGGGGGACTGTTGGAGCCACACCAAGGTTGTTTTTTATGTTTATCTTCAAAACCAACGCTATGGTCATTTGGAAGAAGCCGTATGGTTGTCAGTGGAGATTAGCTGTAGCATGTGTGTGTGTTGATGAAATGCTTTTTTCTGAACTGATGGATTTCTAAACGTGACCTCAGCCAACTAGAGGCTCATTTTTTCCTCACAAGTCAGGAAGAAATCATGATTAATGAGTTCAGCTGCCCCAACAGCTGTATTTGGTTATCAGTAGTGTAGGCTGTGAGGGCCTGTTTTGACTATGAACTACACTCAGTCCCTGACTCCACTTTGAGATGGGATTAGGGGAACCAATGGAAACTCACTTGTCAAATCTACGACATCCAATGCTGGGTCGCTGTAGGCCAGGGAATTCCCCCTTTGAAGGGGTTAGATGTTTGAACTGTTGCCATGAGGGCAGGTCAGCTGCACGTTGACAACACATTGACTGACACACATAGCATGGTTGCTTTGGCTGAAAGAAAGCCAATGGACAATATTTACACAACATGAGGATAACTTGAATCTTTAGACGATTGGTAACAATGTGTCACTAGGGTCAGGCAATATATCAATATTATATTGTTATACAGTATGACACTAGATACACACTTGGATTTGAATTTCGTTAGATGGCTTAATTGTTGTCTTTACCTGGTGTTATAGACTGAGATACAGCAAAGTGATGTCATTTTCTATTTTTTATTATTGGTTTTAACCCAATTATACATTGTATTTTAATTACTGATCATTATACTCCATACGGCCAAGCCCTATGTGTAAAGGCTATTTCTGAAATGCTAATGCTAATACTCTGGGATATTTGAACTTCATTCAGAGCGGTGTGATACTTGACTTCAGCTTTAGTTTCCAAAGTGTATACAATAGAAAGTCGTCATCAGGTTGATTTCATCTTTCATTATGCTTTATTTTTCTTTCGTTTTCTGTCTGCTTGTGATGATCGATTGAAGTCTCTTGTATTTGAGTGATTTAATCATCATGTCGTCGTCTTCTTTTCTGCAGGATCAGTTTGACAACTTGGAGAAGCATACGCAGTGGGGGATCGAATTTGTGGAGAAGTACACCAAATTCGTCAAGGAGAGGTCGGAGATTGAAACAAGCTATGCAAAACAAATTAGGTGAGTACTCGAGCTGACTTTTAAACTACATTCAGGGTTGAATGTTCTCCATCCAGGTGGCTTTGATAGAGACCCCCCCCCCCCTCTCCTTTAAAGCAGGATTTGACCTACTGAAGTGTCCTTGAAACGGGAGACTGAATCTTCCCCAGCTCATTATGTAGCTGACCGTGATCTCTGACCTCCCTCTGGGTGGGGGGAAACTGAAACGGGGAAGCAGTACATTATCGCTGATATATTTTTAAGTATCATTTATTTCCACAACTGTAGATCAAAGTAAACCGCTGTGCAGAGGATGTCTGCTCCCTCCATCTTCCTCTCTTTTTCTGTGTCTCTGTCTGCCTCGCTCTCTCGTGCACCACGCTGTCTGTTGTTGCCTCTGCTTCGGCCGAGAGGAAGTCAGGTTGCGGGGGGGATTGGGCGGAGCTTGTGTTTCCATAGAGACTGCTAGGTATCAGCATTATCAAGCCCAGGTCTGACCCAGATTTTTTTTTTCCTTTTTCCTCCAACCACGCGTATTGGCCCCGCCCCCTCATAGTGCAGTCACTGATCCTCAGAGGCAGGCATGGTAGCATGAGCAGCCCCCCCCCCCCTCTTAAGTCCTCATGTATCCCAACACAGTGGGAGATAGCCCCACAAATCCACAATCCTCATCTTTAAAGAGGCCTGGCAATATGGCTAATGCTCCAAGTATCAACCCCAAACCCCCCCGCTTCAGATTGACAAGCCAATACCAATCCAGCATTCAGATAGTAACCCTGTGTAACAGATCCTCCACAGCATACTGCTCAACATAAGTCTGCTTGAGATAATAGGACTAGCTGTCTGTGTTTACATGCATGCAGTAAAGCAGAGCCCTACACCCATTAACTGTTAACACTTGAAGAAAGATCAAACTGAATATGTTTGGTTATCTCTCGTACTTCTGTTTCATTATTTTCTTTCTATGCATTTACTGAATTAAAAGAAACACTGTCAAACGTATGCAAAGCAAATCATTATTCACAGAAAGTATCATTATCAAATGTCTCAATATTTGAGAGGCTAAACAATATTTGATTAGATAGAGTAGTTGGATTTCTTTGTCCCGTTGACTTAATAATCAGAATCAGGATATCTTTATTGTCATCATACTCAGGTAAAACACCATTTTGTAGGTTTCTCTTAATGTAGTAAAAGACATAGGAAGAATGAATAACAGTGATAAAAGCAGTAGTAACAGCAAATAGAAGGCACTTGTTAGGTTAAATTAAATGTACAAATTGTACAACGCAAATGTACATATATGAATAACTAGATGGAAAGATTAGTGAAATTACTAATCAAATCAAATGAATGATTGATTCAAAATCAAATCCTTGCAGCTCTAACAGAAAATATTCAGGTGCATTCATATCTTGTTTACAGTGGCGGTTGAATTACCTTCTGATAATGTGTACAACTTTATCAGTAAGTAAATCAGTTTAGAGCACTGTGATGTAACCCCCAAACATACGCACAGACAGATTTTCCCTTGCATTTCAACTCAAACAGATATCCCATAATTCAATTAGTCAGCCAGCATCTGTGTACAGTATGTTGGACAAAGGGTCGGGGGCTGGACTCCTCTCCTTGGCAGGTTGGCTGTTATTAAACTTCAGGCTCCACAGATGGTGCGGATGTTTTCAGTCGCTGTGCTTACACAGACGACCTGCTGTCAAGCTGGGTCTGTTATCAAGCACACACACACTTGCACGTGCACATTTGCACACTTGTCAGTAAAAGGCTAAAATGAGGAAATTAGGATGTACTGACAGGAGAGCTTGAGTCATAGGGTTTCCTGTGTTTTCAACACACTGAGCCTCTTTGTTGTGGAGCCACTTGGCCCTTACCTCAGGACTAATTATCCCTCTTAATGAAATTAGGCTTAATCTAACGGGCGCTCAAACAAACAGAAACGCAAGGCTGTTAGATCTAATGCAGTAATGGAAATATCTGCTTGATCTTCTCTTCTTTTGTCTAAGCGCTGTTATTGGGGAGATTTTTGTCCTTCTGCGCTACCCTTCCAGAGGTAACAGGCGCTTGAAAATCCCCCAAAAATAGTGAAAAAGTCCTCAAAAAAGAAGAAAATCTTAAATATATTTGAGAGGCTAAAGAAATCAATTTTTGAATGAAAAGTGACTTTCAATTCATTGATTGTCAAAAAAGTTGAGTGTTTTTTTTCTGTCAATCTACTAATGGACTAGAAATCCTCTGATTGCAGCTTCTTAAATGTCGTATTCGGCTTTGAGAAAACGTGATCGTCATTTGTCATTATGTTATGACAGTCACAGTCCAAACAACTAATAAATAAAGCAAAATGAAAATAATTGTACTTTGTTTGAAGTTCAGCAGAAGTTTTTTTTAATACAGTCTACATTTGTCTCCAATTGAACACCATCAATGCCTACCACACTACTTTGTACCATTTCGATCACCCCAGCAACCACACACTGCACTAAGCCATGAATAATCCTCTTCCAAGGCAATGGTGTAAACATGCACAATGCTTCAGTCTAGTTAATGCAGGGCAATGCATTAATGCCTCCTCCTCCTCCTCCTCCCCTACATTCCTGTCTGGCATAATCCATATCACAGTGGGAATAAAGTCCTGCTCACAAAGAGACTGGGTGAGGTTAAATAAAAGAGTCCGTCATGGCTGGGTTCATATTGAAAACCAGTGTATACTGTAGCAGCCATGTTGTATCACCTTTCAGACAAATACACTCAGAGATAATAAGGCAATACACAAACATGTATTTGTGCAACACGTGCTTGTTAAATCCTAATTATGAGCTAACTGCTGGACTCATTTTGACATGTTTGTTATAATATGTTGTTGAGGTGAGCAGGCACACACAATCTGACACATGACATCTGGCTGTGAATGAGAGAGTGAGTGAGAAGCAGCTCTATAATTAGAGATGGGGTTAGAAGGACATGGTAGACAGATAGATCTGCCTAGCAACAGTGCAAACACCACCAGGGAGGAGAGGCGTGGGGGATGTGAGCCGAGCGAGACAGCATTACATGTCGGTTTTTTTCTTTAGAACATGCATTATTTATTTCAGCAGGAATTTTGAATGACCTTTTTACAACATGTTCATGCTGAGGCATTTAGATTCCAGCAGTGCTATAATCTCACAACAAGGGCATACCACCAGCGGTTAACAGCTCTATAAAAGCACATTATCTTTTTGATTCTCATATGAAAAGTGGATAGACTTTTTGAGCTTCTCACCTTGTACTAATAATTGTGATCTTTTTATACATTTTATAACTTTTTTTGCAAACATTTTTCTCTTTTTATATATTTTTACAACATGGATGCATTATGAAACCCACAGAACAGACACATACAAGTATAAAAGGCTCAACAATAGAATCAAACCAAGAGAACAGCAGCTCAGAATCATACGTGCAGCACAAAGGGTTAAACTGATAATGCAAATAAGAGAATAATCAAGAAATTCCCTGCAGCATTAAAGCAGACCACCCTCTTTTATATAACTGTTTTTTTTATGTTTAACACATGTAATGTGATATAATGGCACTTCATCAAACAGCTTTCTCTGCCATTAAACTCAACAATATCATGTATTTTGTTGCGGCATACAAAGAAAAACATTCATTATCTTCCTGTTCTCTTATCTGCTTATTAGGCCCTGTCCGTCTCCAGTTACTGAACCGGCATTTTTTCCTTTTCAATTATCACATTAGACGAATATCTACTGAGGCGGAAAATAAATCAATCTTAATTTAATAGTATCCGATCCAAACAAATCTGTGCAGCCATTCAACAAAACATCCTATTAAGCTGTGGCTTGACTTGTAGGACATACTGTAACATATGGTTGGATCATTTGACTCCCTCATTTATATTTGTTATATTCAGATTAGCTTTGTTTTAGTGAAAATGAATGGCTGTGCTCGTTTGTGTACATGCATGACTTGTTGGCTCATCTTTTCAAATAGAGAACAGTGCTCTTTAATTATGATTTAACAAAGCATCCTGAAGGCCTGAGCACACAATGTGCACCCAAATCCATCAGAGCATAGTGCACGTTATTATGTTTTGTTGACAGGGCAGCCATCAAACAGAGCATTGGGTGTTGCAGTGGCATGATTTTTTATTCTAACCTTTTATGCTCTTAACCTTTTTTATATTACCATATTTTAATCAATATGGTCCTTAGATCATTTTTTATTTAGTTTTATTATTTTCTCCTTATAGCATTGTGAAGCACCTTGAGATGACGTTGTTTTTAAAGTGTGCTATATAAATGAAATGTATCATTATTATAATGATGGAACAAGGGCTGACATGATGGACTGTAACAATTCAAAAAAACACAAAACGCTTGCTAGGTTGAAAACAGGACATTGAAGGATGGTCAGAACCATATCAAAGTTATTGTCCGCAGTCTTATCCCTACAGTACTCCGTCACCTTCATCTTATTTTCTTTCATCCTTACACACCGTCACATTTTTCCTTCTCCCCTCACGCTGCACTTATCTCGTGCCACTTACATACAGCCAGAGTCAAAACAAGGGCAATGGCCGCATATGAAAAGCAGGCCTGTTTCTGGTGACTGGCTCTGCATGCATGCTTCTCCTGGAGGGCATGATTTATGAGCAGAAGAGAGGAAAGGGGATGTTGTGGAAGAAAGCACTCTGCTGGATTGAATGGTGTTCTGGATGATCCTTTGGCAGGTTCCATAAAGGCGGTGTCAGGGAAATATAATGGGAAGGGTGCACTACCCGTCTGCAGAATGAGCTTTTAGGAAAGAAATGTCTGACAAGGCTGCATTCTTTGTCCTTACAGGAATTTATCAAAGAAGTATCAACCCAAGAAGAACTCGCGAGAGGAGGATGAGAGCAAGTAAGTGAAAGGATGTCGCTCTTACAATAAATCAAAGTAATATTCAATTGTTTCCTGGGGGGGAAATAAGGTTATGTTATAGTTTATCTATATATATTTTTTTATGTTTTTGAAGATATTATCAACATTGCACCATTTTCTAAACAAAAGTATATCAAATTCGTAAAAGAAATTAGTTTGCAAAATGTGTGCATTGTACTTCAATATATAACAGGGAATAGAACAAAAAAAAGAAATATGCAATGTGCAAAATATGTATTTTACAATATAACATTGTGTAATTGAAAAAGCACTTACCAAAAGGGTGTTTAAGTGTTAAAGATGAAGGAATAGAATAAATAAAATGATATTTTACCAATGTACAGGATTGAAACGGTTATATTTAGATATTTAAAAAAAAAAGTAATCATTTCTTAGGAAGTTATATGAGTAAAAAATTCACACCATGTGAAAATGTATATTTGTGTTTTTAAATGCTATTATGTTGGATTGAACGTGTTTCCTTCATTTCTAGTCCTTATGCTAAGCTAAGCTAACCCGATGCTACCTGTAGCAAAAAATAATCATTTAAAGGTGGGGTATGTAATTTATTTCAGAAACACTTTTTGTTATATTCCATGGAATGCTCTTAACATCCCGATAGCAATGAATAAATTAAATGCTTTGACAATAAATACATAAAGAAATGTCATCTGTGGAAGCCGTAATACTGTAAAAAGCACGACCAATCATCTGAGCCGGCCCGGCTAAAATAACTGGATGGCCTACCTGCCTGTCAGCCTTCCATCTGGGCACAAACTTATCTCGTGCCCTCATTGGTCATGTGCGCGTTCGTGTGTGTTGGAGGAGGGACTCTGTAAGGAAGTGGCAGATTTTTTCCGGTTGTGTATTTTCAAATTCTAGCGCACTCGAGCTGGTTTCTCCAAAATTACCTACCCCACCTTTAACATGATCCTGCAAGCATCACTAATCCAAGCTCCAAATGACTTTATCTGAACATATTAATTGTGTTTGCCTCCGTTTGCAACCGTGTCTTTCCTCTGACATCACTTCCTGTCTCTCCAGGTTCACCTTCTGTCGAGCCTTCCTGACATCACTTAATGAGCTCAATGACTACGCGGGTCAACACGAGGTCATAGCGGAGAACCTGACGTCTCAAATCATCGCCGAGCTGTCACGCTACCTGCAGGAGCTCAAAGCAGAGAGAAAAACCGTGAGACACACTTTTATATCCGCACTTATTTCTCTCTCTCCATATCCAATGTTTTATTTATACGTCTATATCTTATTGCCCATTCTCACAGTGCTTTAAATCAAACATTCATTCTGGAGTGTGTGAAATGGATTCTATAAAAGAAAAGAAGACACACAGGCCTACAAGAAATGAAGTAGTCCTTTGCCTCGCTGCATCCTCTATTTTGCATGAACTGAGGTCATCGCTGAGTAAATATAGATGCACCCTGAGGCTCGCTAGAAGTGCAGAACGTGACTAACTGAGTCATCGTCTCCCTATCATTACAGGCTTATTTCTCTCTTTTATAAACCATTCTACAACCACACTATTTTTACCGTTAAAGTCACTTTGGTCCTCGCCATTATGAAGTGATTTGGTGGAGCGGTGAGCCTGCAGTGCGTGATTCACAGATAACAGTGTGGAGCCCATTACATCTATGGAGTTGTTAGGTGGAGCAGAGAGAAAGCTGCTCAGCTGGAAAAAAAAGTAATCCTGAAAAAATATTTCATGCACTCTTGAGTCACGGACGTCCAGCTGAGGGAACTGGAGTGGAAAACCATAAGCAGAGGGTTGCTCAAAGGCACAGTGACCCTTTTTTGGGAGTAAATGTTCAAAGCACATGATGGTGACATCCATGTTGCTGCAACTGCTTCTTACACTAAATACTGGAAGCCCTCGGTTGCATTGTTAGTGATCAGTTGTGATTTCTATCTCAGTTTTAGCTGCAGCAAATGCATCAGAAATGGGAATTTCCAGCACATCTCAAGGGGAATCATCCACCGCCCCCAGGCCATTTGCTCTTTTGGCTTTGTTTTAGCGTGGCCTGGGTTGGCTTGGCACATCATCTGTATCACTAGTGTCCAGATAGAGAGTCCATGAACAGACCCCTGCTGTCCCGAGCCTGCAGGATGTCACTCTGACTCCCCTCTTCCTCCTCACTTCCCTGCAGTTTCCCTCTTAATTTTGACATGATATCCCTGTTTCTCTCTTTCGTTCTCCCTCTGTCTTCCTAGTTAGTCATGTGTCTGCCTCTCGTGAATTGAAAAAGCTTCCAGTTAGCCAGTGCTGGGGAGTTTCCCTTCATAGCATAACTTTGTGTCTTTTCTGAACAGAAGCTTGTTTCATCTCAAAGGCATTGAGCAAATAGTTTCTCAGTCATATGCAGAATAGTGTCCTTGTAGGGTAAATGTAGTGTATTAGCTTTTCTTTTCTTTTTTTAGTGTTCATTGAAAGACATCGGTGCCCTCAACACACTCATGAATGATGGAGATTTAAACTATTTTACATGTTCCAAGTGTTTAAAAGGCAACCAAGCCAAAAGAACCTAGCTACTCTGTACCCGGACAACAATAAGCTTTTCATATTTTTGTTCATAACATTATTAGAAAAAGCAATATTGTGAAAGTTGTTGTTGTAAATCAATCCCATGACTTCCTCAGCTTCCCGTCATTCTTTTCTCTGGTTTCAATCACATGCATTTTTAAGCAGCACTTTCTGTTGTTGTTTTTTTTTTAATATCTGCGTGTATGTCAGACAAATCCGTGCAGGCAGACTCAGACAGTGGGATTAGAGGAGGGTCCGCCAGTTTATTGGACAGGTAAAATCCACGCTACAGACCAGAAGGAGAAAGAGAAATAATACCTCATTAGTTTCTCCTGTGGGGTTGTTTGGTAACTCCCTGAGTGAACCTCTTGCTAAGCTCAGCTTGGGGTGGCACAGGAGGCGCGGCCAAGAATGTTCTTAAAGGAGTTCATAAGAGAGCAGATAAACAGTACTTGTTTTTGCAAAAGTTGAACCTTGTTTTCAACTTTTGGATTTAGTTTGTTGTTGAAATATATTTACTTCTTTAGATTTAAACATATCATTTCTAACATTATACATTTAAAAAGTATAAAAACAACTTCATCTATGTTAAATCTTTTGCCATAAAAAGGTTTTTGGTCAGAATACTGGCCTCTGATTGGACTCCTTTGTTTACTTTTGTAATATAATGACATCACTATGTAACACTCGCACTTCTAATGGCTAGCGCTCCAACACACTGTACGTGATAGGCGAAGGGGCGGGACATCTCTAAGTGGTGGACCAATCACAACAGAGCTAGCCAGTTAACAAATCAGAGCAGACTGGGCTCTGGTTTCAGACAGAGTGTGAAAAGAGGTGCTGCAGCACAGGCAGTATGAGAGAAATAAAGAGCTTTTTGAACATTAAAGCATGGAGACATTAGTAAAGGCACTAAATACAAATATGAATCTGAAAATCTGAATAAAATGTCCTCAGGAGAAATGTACTGAAACATTTATAAACTTCACTGCGTATTTTGACATGTGTCCAGATGAGGGTTAGGTTCATTTTGTGCTCTTTTGGATCCACTTGCACCAACAGCACAAATGATATCTTTGGGTTTTTGGGGTTGGTTCCATCGGTCTTAATCCTGCTGAGATGTGACATGTTCAAACAGCAAGAAAGATAGAAAATATGTCTTATTTAGCTGGCAGGGTCTGGAAAGTAAGCAAAAAGTCAGCTGAAAACTACAAGGTGCTATAAAACATCTTTAGGTGGGTTTGGCAGGGCATACTGTCCTCATTTATCTCTTCAGAGGCAGAGACCAAAGCGGCAACCTCGGAGAAAGAACAATGTGTTACTCTGGACGAGCCTCACAGCAGAAAGACAAAAAGAAAGAAGGGAAAGAGAATTGATCGTTGGATATTTCCATAGTAGCTGCACTCACATCTGCATCCTGAATACTTTAGTATAAATGACCTCAGCAATGCTCCGAACCACTGCCTAATGGTCTAAACATGAGGAGCCTCTCCTGAGATTCAATCATCTCTATACATCATGTATGACTTGTGGCTATTTCTAGTACCTTATGATTATATGTATGTTGACAACTGTAGAGGACTGCAGGTGCACATTCCTCTGAGCCAAGTCAAGTCAATGAGTGAACAGTGTGTAAGAGAGTGTGTGCACACAGATGTCCATGAGCACCTCTTCACAAACACAGCACTGAAATGAAATCCTGGAGCAAAGTTTTCGTTCCTCTATTGTGTGGAAAATAGAGAATGGAATCTCTCAAATCCTTTTATTGGTTTTACAATAGTATTGAGAACATTGACTGATTAAACACTAACCATCCCTCACTTCTATCAACTCCTACTCAACCTTCACTTACCTAGTATCCCACCCACATTCCCAAATTCCTCATTCCCATTCCCCATTCTCACAGTGCTTTAAATCAAACATTCATTCTGGAGTGTGTGAAATGGATTCTATAAAAGAAAAGATCACACAGAGGCCTACAAGAAATGAAGTAGTCCGAACAAATTCCTCCCACTGGCGAAAATAAATCATAATGTAACTCAGAGGAAAATACTGTAGGTTAATTGATCAGACAGTGGTGGAGGATGTTTGTTAAATGTCCCGTCCTTCTTCTCCTGTCATCTTTTGCTCAAACATATTACCCAGCTAATAAATGAGTGTATATGTGGAGGGGACAGCCTGTGAGTCACACAGCCCCATCAGAGCATGTCTGGTGCAAAGATGGTACAAAAAAGAAGTCAGACATTGGACACTTCATTTCATGGTTAAGTGTCCATCATACACACAATAAGAATAGACTACTTTATGGAGGAAGTGGTTTACAGTTTTACAACCAAACAAAGTAAAAGTTTTTACGAAATGAATAACCTTTACAAAGTATACATATAATTAATTTGTGGATAAATACAGCACTAAAAACAGCGCTAAAATACTGTCTAAAATTCAGGGTATTTGTTAGCAATCTCAGATCTCTGTAGAGGGTTTCTGCCTTCTAAAATCACTACACTTAAAGTATATTCATATTTGAGGTATTGTAAGACTGCAGAGGGAACAACATTTGATAAAATGTTGACATTTGAACCACGCAGTGATAATACTGATTATTGTGAGAACTTGTCATCTCTTAACTTTCTCTGTTGGAATTAAATCTATTAAATCTAAAAACAAAAGTCCATAGAACCACATTGATCTATATCTTTGTTTATAACTACGTCTGTGTATCTTCATTCTTACCTGCCTTTGTGTTTTGTTACCTGGAGATAGTCTTGTGCTGGGAGGTGCGAAGAAGCAGAGTCTAGCATGAAGAATTACTTTGTTTTTTTCAATGTAGTCATAGCACAGAGCAGCGCTGCTTAGCATCATTTAGTAAATATGTAATCAGGCTGACCTAACGTCTCTGGATGAATAATGATCATATTTTCCAGTCCTGCTTTCATCACAGTGCAGTTAAGTTTCTAACTGTTACTCAGATGTGTTATTGTGTTGGTAACTGGAGCTTTTCCTCTCTTGTCACTGTGTAAGTGAGAGTGGCAGCTTCAGGTCCTGTTAGAGTTCCCCAGATGTCTTTAACAGTCACATGCTGTTACTGAGACGGACAAAGAGACACTGGGTGCGTCTAATCTTTCTTGTGCTGAACAGACTAGCTGTATGGATCCCTGCAGTGTATTGGTTTAAACACAGAGGCCAACACTGCAGAACATCTGCCTAAAAGCCTGCACCATTTCATACCTGCCTCCCAGATGGCTGTTTGTCACATATGATGATACATCAGGTTCTTTTAATCTCGTTTGATAGCGAATGAGCTCATGTTCCTCTGTTGTGGTCTGTACATCTTCATCCTGCAGCAGTAACTGTCACGCTGTTTGGGGAAAGTTTGTATATCTTTGTACAGATGGAGGATTTGTTGATGCAGGCAGCATGATTTTGTTGTTATGGAGACGCATATTTGGTTGATTCAAACAGTAATAATGATATCACCCAATCTGCTGCTGCGTGTCCTAAAAAAGCTTCATAGTATCTTCAGCGTATCGGCATATCTTCATCGCTGAATAAGACTCTTCTTATCAAACAGGAATTTGAAGGTCAAGCAGTTGAAAAAATACAAAAATCTTTATTACACACCAGTTCTACTTTAGAGGCTCCACAATGTCCCATTTTCAGTTGAAATACTTCCTCTGAAACACTGAAGCACTTCCCCTTTTTACCCAGCTTCCCTTGTAACTTTGGGAAGTGCTACTACCTGAGGTAAACCAGGGCACGTTCTGACTAACACATCCCATGAAGTGTTCAGGATGGATTAACCTTTATGCCTCTGCTTCATTTCACATCTCTTGCTTGTGTGTTTGAGTTAGTACACAGAATACTAAGGTGCTGAATGCAAGAGAAGAAAAAGCCAAAGCTCTCTGTGCCCGTTTTACTGGCCTGGTTTCGTTATTGAATTGCAGCATCGATATTCAGCTCAGCTACTGACCCTGGCTTCCGCAGTCAGCGCAACCCGGGGAAACCTCATTGATAGTCAGGTCTCTGTAACATTTTCAACTTCATTTAGTTCCTTTTGGATATTTTTTAGCAGATTAACACACCACAGACTTTGAGGATTTTTGTTATATGCTTTGTGAGTAATCACAATCTATTTCAAACAGGTTTAAAGTTGCTATTATGTGTGCAGGAGGTCTGGCTCTGGTCCATTCACAGAGCTGTAGAGAGCGTGCTCTGCCTCCGGGCCAAGTGCTCTGCTCTCCTGGAGAGAGACAGGCCAAGTGAGGTCTTTTACAAAATCACATATATGCTGTGTAGTCTAATAGGCCACATTTTGCAGTGCACAAATCAATCCTTACATTACTGTGGCGCAGCTATCCTCAGAAGCTCATTCAGCTCATTAGAAAGAAGCCAGAGAAACAGTTCTCAACCACTTCTTTTCAACCACAGTTCTCAATTTACTTTTTTGACAAGTGCCTTCATAATGACAGACTGCCTCTTCAATTATAATACAATACCTATTTTACAAGAAACAAATACCTCTCACTCCAACAAAAATCCTCCTGAATTATAAGGAAATGTGTATGAAGAGGTTTCGATAACAATGAACCAACTAAACAAAATAAAGCCTGTGTGTTTTATAGTTTTAAGTCTTGAACAAATACTACTACAATTTCCCCTGATGCAATTTAAGACAGAAAAGTAGCTCAAAAGTATTGTTCAGTTCAAAAGAAAAGGGATCACCAAAGTTATACCTAAGGATATATTTCATCTTTAGTGGGACATGAATGTCTGCACCAAATGTCATGTCAATGTGTTCAATAGTTGTTAAAATATTACAATTGTTACATTTTGACATTTATTACAATTGACATATTCTTTGTTGAACAGCAGATAGCATTCAGGTTTGAACTAGTAGTTTCATGAAATTATTATATAATACACTATGTTGGACCTTCTTGTATTCATCTCTAGCCTTCATTCAGTTGGGTGTAGGGCTGCTCGATTATGGCAAAAATCATAAACTCGATTATTTGGGTCAATAATTGAAATCACGATTATTAAAAACAATTATCCACCAGCTATTATTTACTTTGAAAACATCCATTTATTGAAAAAAAAAATGTGAACAGTATGTTATTAACAGTTGATTACCCTGAACTTTAAGTATAATTCAACTGAAAAAACAAAAACAAAAACAAAAAGAAAATAGATAATCGTTTTATTTCGATGATGTTGTTTTCATAATCGTTGCAAGCCAAAATCGTAATTGCGATTAAAATACGATTAATTGAGCAGCCCTAGTTGGGTGTTAGTTTTGGTGCTATGTTGAAATCGTACGAGTACGTCCTTTTTTGCACTCGTGTTGAACTGTTGGGTTATAATATGGCTGCTCTTCAATCAAATCAACATACAGCCATCTGCTTGGTCAAATCTCTGAGAGTAAAGCTTGTAGGTTATGCGGCCATCATTTCTAATGTAGCCACAGTATAATGTCTATTTGCCCTACTTTCTCAGCTTACATGAATGCTTCTCTGTCACAGTGTGAGTAATATGCATAGTGTTTAATGATATGGTTGAGAATCCCACTCCACTGTTTCTAATTTATTATCCTTACTATGTGAGGGTCACTTGCTTTTAAATCCCTTACGCTTGTGAATGGTATGATAATATCATTTTTTCTCATCTCTTCTGACAGTCCTTCCATGATGGGCGCAAGGCACAGCAGCACATCGAGAGCTCGTGGAAACAGCTGGAATCGGTGAGTGACCCAATTAATGTGCAGTGCAGTTATTCACTAGAAGCAGTGGCCATTGATCACAGTAGAATCAAAGGAGACAAAACTCGAGTAAAGTAATTAACCCTTGCCTTGTGACTTACTTTTGCAGTTATATATATCACTGAAGCACCTGGGCAACTTGGTTTCCAGTACGACTATTTCAAACGCCAACAAGTTATGATTTTATACGGTGAAAGCGACAGTCAGTGCTGGCTAAAGATGATAAACTTGTTAACGTTAGAGAACGTTGAGAAGTAAAACGTTTAATATGAAAATACAGCATTCATCAGCTCGAATTATAAAAAAAGAAAATAAATTGCTGTACTTTGTCATTTTTCCCAAGATAAAACCAGTTATCAATTGATTCATTATTTTAATTATGACTTAAAATTACGTATTTTATAGGTCAAGTTCTGATTATGAACAGCACACACACACTTTTAATGGAATTTTAGCTATGTGCTTTTAGTTGCTTCAGCTATTTATCAAATCATACAAAAGATGCATCAAGGACAGGTGTACTATTGCAGAAAATGAATAAAAACCATATCAAATTGTTTATAAATGTTCTGTTGATATTGACAGTCTTATGATCAATCAGCATCAATGTCACATGATACCACAACACATGTTTTAACAGGGACTTCATGAGGAGCTTAGTTATTATAAAGTACATTATCATCATCAAAAGCTTATTGTCAGTGGGTGGCAAACATTCATTTCTGAAAATCAGCAGAGGGCCGTGCACAGAGCCCTGAGGGACAACTTGTTCCGTCTTCACAAAAAAACGCTTACAATATGCTATTTATTTGAATCAAAATGTTGATATTAATAATAAACAGGACAGTGTTACATAAGGATTGAATTATGGTACATAAATCATGTTGGTTTAAGACTTGTGTGTTTAAGTGTATCATTTAAGTTGTCTTCTTTTAGGGTAGCAGACTGATCTACCACAAATTGGTCGGTTAAAAATCAGACACATTGTGAAAAATACTGAAGTAGAAACTGAATTGTAAGTTCCACTTGTGTGGCCTAGTAGTGATCAAACAGTAGACCAGACTAAAACACATGACGTTATAATTCCTATCTTTGCCAAAGACCTAGACCTAGATTGTCCGTTGTATTTGTTTTATTGAAGCAGCTGAAAGAGAGATTGCACAGAACACCGCTTCTTATCTCTGCCTGGCCTCTTTGACAGGGTACAGACAGAAAGAGTGTGAGAGAGAAGCAGAACTGCCTTGTCCTCCTCAAACTTTTCTCTCTTCAATGATGCCTTTGTGAGCGAGGCAGATAGGCATAGTTCAGAGTGCACACTGACCCAACAAACACTGATTGTTCAGATGGAGGGGTCGAAAGAGGGTTGAATGAATGCTTGTTTTCCGTACACAAATGGCCACTATGAACATTTATTTAATCTGCAGGCTGCACACTTTGACAGACCCCACCGCTGTGTCAATGGCATAAACTGACCTCTGTCACAGACAATGCTGTGTGTGAGATCTATATGACGCATATGAAACATGTTAAGATGTCATTACTATGCTTATTAAAAGGTCAGGTTATAAAGTGTTTCCCCCTACAGCTCAAGGCAGGAAATGAATGACTCACAGGTATTATATTGAACATTTCCGCTATAAAATGTCTAAAAAGACTAGACCTATATTATATAGCTTGTTGAGTTGTTTCTGACAATTGTCAAAAAATCTACAGATTTAATTAGGGTCATTTTCCTTTGGTCGCATGTGATGGCTGCATATCCCCTTTGCACAGTGTTGTGGTTGTCTTAGCTGTCATGCATCAACTTTGTATCAAGTTCAAGCCTTATTTTTACATTTTCTGGATTAGAACATTACTTATTTTACGTTTAATGTCTGTGTTCTATTACATTTTGCCTTTCTTATGCTCTATTTCAGTGTAAAAGAAGGTTTGAGAGGGACTGTAAAGAGGCGGACAGAGCACAGCAATACTTTGAGAAGATGGATGCTGACATTAACGTGACTAAGGCTGACGTGGAAAAGGTATGTGTCATCTCTCACTCCTGTTTTACAGCCACCAATCACGCAAGCCTGTCGTTTTCTCATCATGCTCACCACGATTGCCTGCCCCCCCCCCACCCATCATCCTTCCCCTTTCTCTCGCCATGTTTTTTTTAACATTTTGTTCCCCCTTCCATGCACCCCAAGCCGTGAGTCGCTCTCGGAAAGACAGAAAGATTGAGTGACCGTGTGTTTGATGCCAGGGTCTGTGTGTAAAGGCTGGCATTGTCTCAGCAGCACAGTGATGTCCTGCAAAACAAAGCTGATAGCAGTCCTCATTATCACTGGAGAGCAGAAACCAAGCCTTAGCAACAGAGAGGACTTTGTGTCCATGCTTGTGCTTGTTTGTGTCTTATTGTGTTTTTATGGCTGCAACTAACAGAAAAAGACATTACACATACACTATGTACAGTATATCGCCTAAAGAATAATAATAATAGGATATATGTAACAAAAAAGTTGCAATAAAATATTTTAAATAAAGAACATACTGTACAGAAATATACAGATATTAGTAGTACATTAATATTCTAAAGAGAGATCATTTAAATCACCATAAATGATAAACTATGTAAATGGACATATGACATTTCCAAAAGGTTTTGACAATAAATTGGTAAACAAAAAGTGAATCCAATTATATCTCACATACTAATTAGACAAGGTCATGTCTAGTTCCTTTCCAAAATAAATTAGGAATTTCGCCCATATTTTATAGGAGGTATCAGGCTTTCCCTTTAAATCATCGTTTAAAAAAACAAATTTATATATATTAACAGTCTTTTAGAACAGTTGTGGATCATATTCCTTTGATAGGCTTATTAGTTAATGAACTACTCATTGCAGCTCTAATGTGTGTGTGGATTACACACATTTTATTTGGCTTTTTTACAGTGAATAATCTGAATATATAGTTTTGTTTTTCTGTGATTACACACACTCACATGATGCAGCGATGATCCGATTCAGAACTTGTGGACGCAGAGCCCCCTGGGCCTGTAGCGGATTCCATTTCCTGTTGTTATAACCAATTAAAAGAGCCCTGTAAAATCTCAGCCTTTAACCCACACGGCTCCCACGCCCGCAAGGCATCATGGGTCATCAGCGCGTGCTCCTGCCGCTTCATCAGCTGTTGGAGCAGAGCCCCGACTCAGAGTTGACACAGTTCAGACCCGATTATTATGCAAATATAGGCTGGAATAAAGAGCCTTTCTGCTCTCCGGACATACAGCCAAGAAGCTACAAAAGGCTCCAGCGAACACTGAACTCAACTGGAAAGAGCCGGCACAGCAGCTCCAGAAACCAGCGCTAAAACAAGAGAGGAGCTGTGTCTGATTACAGTTATTTCATTTATTGAACCGTGAAAGACTCTCACATTACACAGCAGTCAGTACTGTATTATTGCTCTCAGTTAGTATCACTGTTTGTGTAATGTGATCATGGAAACAGCTCTTTAATATGCTGGAGTCAAATCATCATGCAGGATCATAGCTTTAGTTTTGCCTGTGCTAATGCTAAACTTTGAACCTGAGGCTTTAAGTTATTTTTCATACCACTTCAATTGTAAAGATGCTTCATTTAATACAAAATAAGTATTTATTATTTAGCAGAAGTACCAAAGTGAACATGATACTTTTACAGTGTGCATATTTTTTTATTCATTAAGTTTTGTTTAAAGGAAAGAAGTGTATGTGTCAATCAAGCTCTAATTCTCACCATTGTTGACATTCTAACTACTGGTCAGAATAACCTTGCACTGGAAAAAGAACTCAAATTGTAAATGTTTATATAAAATGTAAGTGTATTTCTCTCTATAACTCTATCTGAAGGTGGTAGAGTAACCATGAAAGTAGGAAATACATCTAAAACCCTTTTAATATGCATCAGAAAACGGTAGGCAGCAATGGAAACTATATGAGAAATGTATTTAATGGGCTCAAACACAATGCTTTTCAGCAGACCTAAAACCCCTTTAAACCTCCTGAATCATGTCATTAAGATGCTGTGGCAAACGATCCCACATACCTCAAAAGATAAAACAAACGTGCCTTTTTGTATATTGTCTTGCTTGCCATTGTGTAGATCCTTGCAACAAATAATCGCTTTCTCATTTGCTTTTCCTTTCTGTGTGGGTCGTTTGACCCAAGTCAGTTTTTCACCTACTCCCATTTCCATTCTCCAGAAATGTAAAACGAATACAAAAGACTGTCACATCTGTCAGCGTGGAAGATCTTTCTCCCACATGTTCCTTTTCAATTCTTCTCTCATGTCCTTTATTGGTGTATTGTATCTGTGGGATTAGTTGTATTACCTATGATTTTCTAACTAGAGTCTAGAAAGGGCGCGAGAATATGCGGATGTTTGAAAAAAAGAGAAAGGAAGTTTGTGTTTTGTGTCAGTCTGTGGTTTAGACACTCAAGTTTTGACGCCTCGTGACTTTTCCACATCCGTTGTGTTAAAGGTTATTTAGCTCAATTGCAAATAGCATATAAAAGCAGCACTACTATTCTATCGTTACGCTGCATCTGCTATGTTAGGGTGAAAGTGAAGAAAAAGTCAAGTACCATTTTATTTTTGCTCAAGTTATGTTTTGGTGAGAGCCGATCATGTGTCTCAATGTGTTATTTTCTGTGGCATTTTCCCTTCAATATTTAGAGGACCTCTGAGTATTTATCACCCGAAGGAATGACATGTCACAACCCCAGCCTTATTTGTGTTTGTGTCATAGTTGGAGTCTTGTGGTGAAAGTAGGTTTGGGTCAGACAAAAAATATGTTTTAGTTATGTGTGTATTTATGTCTGTTAACATTGGTCTTCTGCGTCTTAAGGCCACTTTCAGATCCCTTTGATACTAGTGAGGACTAGGCTAAGTTACTTGTCTGTGCGATGTCTCCCCATTAGTTTGTTGAGCTGAGGTCTTGTGGTTTTCCCGCAGCTGGAGCAAACCTCGATCTGTTCCCACTCCTCCTCTGGCAATCAAACCCCTCAATTTGGGGTTTTGGATTTGCAGCCCAGATACCCACACACTGTTAACAGTTCTTTGAGGGACCCCCCCCCCCCCCACGCCCTCACACACACTCGCAGACTTGCTATCAAGGAGATCCTGAGTCATATTATAGCATCGCAAAAAATAACACTTCTGCACTTCTCTTCAACTTGTTTACACCAACTTCCCCTTTTGAGTGATGACACACGAGGAAGTGCATCTATGGCAACCTGTTGTTTAGCTGGAAACGGCTAACAATCCTTCTTTTTTGTTTTGTTTGTGTGTTTTTGCTTATCTATTTTATGCAATGCCTTGAAGCGAAGTTCCCACAAGGTAGGTTCAGCGTTTGGAGAGCCTGTTATATCTGTGGGAACACACACTGTCTCGACTATTGTCTCGACACACACACACATGCCTTCCCGTGGAGTTTGACACGATGACCTGGTCCGGGTCGCTGTGACCTCGCTCCGTCCTGTCTGACTGTGATCGGCTCCCTGTTCTGTACGGTGGCTTGTCTCGCTGTCTGCTGCTGAACACGTTCTAACCCTGAGGTTTATATGTGTGGTGCAAGGAGAAAAGAGAGAAGGCTTTTACAAAAACATTCATTTCAAATATTCTTAGAAAGGTAGACAAGGGCTCCATCATATATCGTTTTTATCCTCCCGTTGCGCGATAAACATATTAGAGAGACTGCGATACCGTTCTCAACAATCTTTCTTTTGTTAAAGAGGCCCTATTAGGCTTTTTGGGGTTTTCCCTTTCCTGTAGTTATATAGGATTTTGTGCATGTAAATGGTCTGCAAAGGCTAAAATCCCTGTGTTGCCTCCAGAGGGAGTTTCTCTCCCTTATTCCCCCCCCCTGCCTGAAACACCTCCATTGGACTCCTTTGTTTACTTCTCTAACATAATGACATCACTATGGAAAACTCACACTTTTTATTGGCTTGCGCTCCAACATGTTGTACCTGATCTCTAAGCAGTTGACCAATCACAACAGAGCCGGCCAGCTAACCAATCAAAGCAGACTGGGCTCTGGTTTCAGACAGAGGGTGAAAAGAGGTGCTGCAGCACAGACAGTTTGAGAACAATAAAGAGCTTTTTGAACATTAAAGCATGGAGACATGTCACAGTAGAGACACAAAATACTGATATGAACCTGAACATGAGCAGAATATGTCCCCTTTAAAAGTCCCCTAATATACTGTTTTTCATCAATATATTATAGGTCTCAGAGACAAACATGTCTCTGAAGTGTTTGGCTCGAAATACCAAACAGATCATTGCAGCATCCCATAATCCCCTCTGTTTCAGCCCTGTTTCAAAAGTGCTGATTCTGTGTCTGTTACTTTAGATGAAAATAAGGAGCCACTCCCCACGCCTCTCTGAGAGATATTTGGTTAAAAAGAACACAATGGTGCTCTAGGAGGAGATTCAGGTGATAAGGGGGGGGGGGGGGGGGGGGGGGGGGGGGGTTACCTTGGTTGGTGATTGGCTAATGGTTACACAAGCCAAAACATCGTTATGACATCATCAAGTGGCCAAAATCTGATCAGATCATTTTCAGACAGGTTTTTATATAAATGGATCAGGACAAAAAGAGAGAGAATCTTTTTTCCTGAAACTTTCAGGGTCTCTGTACACAGAGGGGACACGTGTTTATGTATAAAAGACATGACAAAGTGCATTTTGCATAATAGGTGACCTTTTAAAGGGAGTTTAGTTTTGTTGGTACCCTTAGTGTTCAGTGCAATGTTACATTTGTTCAACAAGAGGAATCCCTCAAGTGTTTTTCTATTTGACAAGCAATTTGTTTTATTTGAGTCGTATCATGAAAGCAGCAGAAAGGCAGGTAGTATCAGCATTGAGGTTTTAAACAGCCCATATTTTCCTGATATCATATTTACCTTAGGTTTAAAGATAAATACTGGTGATAAATATTTGAGAAGGTGGACATTTACACATGGATTCACACATGAACATGTGTGTGAGTAACAGAAGGGTGATTTCCAGAGACTGACAACAGGATGTGATGTTGCTGCAGAGACAGCAGCTTGTTACGAAGTTTGCCATGTTGCCATGGTGATTGTGTTTACCCACATCATTTCTCAACACATTGGGCACCACTTTGCATGCACCTACAGCAGCACTGCACACATCCCACAATGCATGCACACTTAAACAGCTGGACTTTCACATGTGCTTTTTAGCTTTTCTCTGGATTTCACATTCCTTTTTTAGTTTCTTAAGACTGTGAATATCATTTTCCACCCGAGGTATTAACTGTCATCCCTCCTGCGCCGGAAAATAATGTACCATTGTGTCTGATGAGTGTCTCCACTCTGATGTCCTCCTTTTCTTTTAGTATGTTGTCTATTACTAACCCATATGTGTGAGTGTGAGAGTCTTTACTCTCGCCTCAGATCAGTGCGTGGGTGAAAACTGGATCCTTGTCATATTTCCCTCAGGAGTTTGACATAACAGGGTTATAGGGACTCTTTGTTATAGATGACCCAATGAAACCACTGATGGAAAGAGGAAACAGATACGAGTACTTAGCCACACACACACACACACACACACACACACACCACACACACACACACACACACACACACACACACACACACACACACACACACACACACACACACACACACCCCCCACATGCTGTCTAGCTGAGATAATCTCATCTCCATCTGCTTGCATTGGATCTGTAATAGGCTGCTCTTGCTGCATTTCTGACTGCCTGCCTGAGACTGAACTAGCTTAAAATAATCGACAGTAGAGATACGCCAGACTGGGCGGGCAATCAAAATCCAAATCCCCTCATTCTGCAGCCTGTGCAGGGCTGTTGCAGTTCTCTTTTTATACATGTATGTGGTCATACACTGACTGAAAACAAATGCTAATGGCTGTTGATTTCAATTTGCACTTGTGACCTTGTGTCCACGAGCTTTATGTTTATACGTATACACGTACATGCATGAACACTCCCATGCACAAATGTGTCAAATAATGTGGTTCTTATGCACTGACTGTGTGTGTGTGTGTGTGTGTGTGTGTGTGTCTGAAGTGTGTGTGTGTGACCCATATGTCCGTGTTGATCAGGGGACACTGAGGTTTGCCGTGTTTCTGATGAGCATGTTTCTGTGTTTGTTTTTTTCCTCAGGCACGACAGCAAGCTCAGATGAGGCACCAGATGGCTTCTGACAGTAAGAGCGATTACTCCGCCTACCTGCAGAAGTTCAATCAGGAGCAGAATGAACATTACTTCACAGTTATCCCCAACATATTCCAGGTAAATGTGACAGCACTGCATTTCATCTGATTTGTTGTTGACTGAAAAATCTGAACATTGGGTAAAGTTAGGTTCAAAAACTCTTGCATCCAATCCACTTTATTTATATAGCACATTTTAAAAACAGAGGGTTTGCCAAAGTGCTTCACAATGAACATAACATTATAATAAAAATATAATATTACACGAATAGATAAAAGGCACACATAAGAATAAATGCAAGGCACACAAAGGCTATGGACAGACAATAAAAGCATAAAATAGGTAGAGCTCAGACTGACTCGAAAGCGAGGGAAAAGAGGTGGGTCTTTAGGCGGGACTTAAAAGCTTCAAGAGTGGGCGACAATTTGACATGAGGGGGGGGGCAGGTCGTTCCAGAGCCTGGGGGCTACCGCTGAGAAGGCTCGGTCTCCCCTGGTCTTTTTCTTTATTTTAGGGACTACCAGCCGCTGCTGATCAGCCGACCTCAAAGCCCTTGAGGGGGTGCACACCTGTAGGAGGTCGGAGATGTACTGAGGGGCCAGCCCATTAAGCGATTTAAAAACAAACAACAAAATCTTAATTCTAAAATGGACAGGAAGCCAGTGGAGGGAAGCCAGAATTAGTGTGATGTGGTCATACTTGCGGGTTCCTGTAAGCAGACGAGCCGCAGCGTTTTGTACAAGCTGCAGGCGTGCCAGCAAAGTCTGGTTTAGGCCGGCATAAAGTGCATTACAGTAATCTAAAGGAGTAGAAACAAAGGCATGAATTACACGCTCAAAGTCTAAAAAGGATAAAACCGGTTTAATTTTGGACAGGAGCCTCAAGTGATAAAGACTGGACTCAACCACAGAGTTGATCTGTTTATCTATCATGTCTTATAAATCAGGCTGTGAATGATATATGATAATAAAAACCCTATATTAAATAGATGGGAATGTATTTGGGTGAATAATATGTAAAAACAAAACAAAAAAGCTCAAATACATTAATTGTAAAATTCAAATGACTTTGCAATAAACTACAGGTGAATGGCGTACATCATTTGTATCACTATGATATTCATATTTTCTGAAATTAAATGTTTAAATAAGCAAATGAGTCATTATATAGTACATTTCAGTGAACTTAGAAGAAATCTACAGACTCAAAAACACAAAGTTAGTAGCATTAGAACCTAAATGTGTGTTTTGGATGTTGCTTCTTTACAATAGTCTGAAAATACATGTTATGAGAGCACAATAGCACAAAACTCTTTTAAAATGCTGTATGAAAATGCAGAGTACTCACATTAAAAAGACAGTGCATTCATGTGCGATCATTAGTGAGCTTTTGAATCCAATTATGTTTGCAGCCCACCACCCCCCCTCCCCTCTGGGTCGACTACTAAAAATACATTCCAAACATGTGGGAAACACACATCATGATGACGAGTGCACTAAAAGCTATTTTGTGTGCTCATTTGTTTGTTTAAAATCTTTTTTCACTTCTCTGATGCTTCATTTTCAAAATAGGGTCAAACTTTTAGAAAAATGAAAGTGCATCAGAGATTTCCCAGATGTCAAATCTTTGATGCTCAATATCAAAAGGCAGCTCTTTCTGCCAGTTTAAATCCAAACTGGCTGTGTTTCATTTTGAAGCTCTGCCATCTCTCATTCATTTTATAACCCAAGCTAATAAATCTTGTATGTATGTATTAAAATGCCTGCTTTTTATCACACAGAAACTTCAAGACATGGAGGAGAAACGAATTGACAGGGTAGCAGTGTGCATGAAGACGTTTGCAGACGTGGACCGCCAAGTGCTGCCCATCGTGGGGAAATGTTTAGACGGCATGACGAAAGCCGCCGAGTCCATCGAGCCCAAGACTGTGAGTACACAGCGGTGAAATATATGTACACACACACACACACACACGCACACACACACACACACGCACACACGCACACACCACCATCTGGGACGTATTACTCACTCAGCCTGTGTGTCAGTCACAGCCCACACACGACCGATTAGGCTGTCATTTAAGCAACAAATGCGGGAGGGTTGGTACTCTTTGGGGGCCTTTTAAAAAATACAAACAGCCCACCTGTGAACAACAAAGTGCTTACAGAGTGGTGGCAGAGGAGGCAGGGTTACGGTCCATTGAATTTAAAGTAATAGTTTGATTTTTTATGGGGGGAAAGAGTTTGATGAGAAGATTGATGTCGTGTCTGCCTCATAATATGAAGCTACTGCCAGCTGCTGGTTAGCTTAGCATAGTTAGTGATATTAAGGGGAAACAGTTAGCCTGGCCCTGCCAAAAATTAACAACATTCTTTATGTAGCCTTGTATTTATTACCCGGAAGTAAGTTAGCATTTACCTCTTCCAGTTCCTTCGCCAAAAAGCAATGCAATTTCTCCATAGGATTTTGGAAAATAGCTTGAAAAAAGGTCTGTGGTTGAGACACATTGAAGAGACGGATCACGTTTTGTTCTACGACATTAAATACATCAGCAGTGACCCCGCTGGTGATTTTTGAAGAGTGTATGTGTCTGAAAAACTATGGTTGTTAACAAGTGGCTGAATATGACTACAGAAGTTGTCGAGGACGTTGTACGTCATTACGCCGAACACGTAAACACTCCAGCTAAGTTTGTTTTCCCCTGTTCTGCTTGAAAGCAAGTACCTGCCTCCTGCAAACTGTTCAAACAAACGCTTCAACTTGGACCATTTAGAATCTGTATGTTTGAATATGGATCTTAAGTTGGCGTGACGTTGAAGCAGCGACCCTGCTGTAGTTCGTTTATAGCATAACGTTAGCATTTTGCTTCTGGTGATTAGATTTACGATTAGAAAATTATCAAAGTAGGGTAGAAATGTGGAGATTATCCGACTGAACAAAACATGATCCGTCTCTTAAATGTGTGTCATCCACAGACCTTATTTCGAGCTATTTTCCAAAATCCTATGGAGAAATTGCATTGCGTTTTTGTCGAAGGAACTTCCGGGTTTTAGGACGCGTCACTGTGGCACTCTATTGTGCTCACTGTAGTGTGAGACAGTTGTATTTGCAGATCACACTTTGCAAAACGTTGCTGCAAAACGGCTGACACTGTGTCCCATGGCTAATTATTGTTTATTTGGAAATTGAAATTGAAGGCAGTGTTTGTCTGCGTTAAAGAGAAAATAAGCAGGGTGATATATTGAGATGTCACATGTTGGCTGCCCACCGTGTGACAAAACAAAAGACTACCTCGAGGGAAGTGTGTGTGTGTGTGTGTGTGTGTGTGTGTGTGTGTGTGTGTGTGTGTGTGTGTGTGTGTGTGTGTGTGTGTGTGTGTGTGTGTGTGTGTGTGTGTGTGTGTGTGTGTGTGTGTGTGTGTGTGGCCCAGCTCCAGGGAGATGACTCTAGCCTGAGACTGTCTGCTGCAACCCATCACATGTTCTCTCCCTGTCTCTGTCTCTCTTCCTCTCGTAGTCTTCTCTCATGGCCATAGTGCACAATCTCTGACCCCTGACCTCACTCCAAACCAGACCCTCAATGTGTTATCAGTTCATTGAGGCTGATGCACACTGCACTTGATTAATGTCCTTCTTCCTGTGTGAGAGGAGCCTGGCTGTGTCCCGACCTCAGTGTTTCTGTCATAACTCCTGCCTGACAGATTTAGGTCTTTCCCTCTTTCTTCTGTGGCCCAAAAACTGGATAACAGCAGCCTCCTGCCCTCCCTCTGCTTTTATGACACATTCATGAACTGTTTTCAGAGAAATGAAAAAAATATAAACAGGAGGGTCACCATTGTGCTGCATCTTATCTGCAGACCTGCTGATAAGCTGGACAATCTGTACAAACAAAGACCCTGCTTTTTTGGTCATGGCTTTGAATGTTGTGATTGTTCCATTGATGTTTAAAATTAAAGGCCCTACGTTTTCATGTCCTTTTTGAAATTATAAAACGGGTATAGTCTATATAAATACTGTGAACAGTATCAAAACACTCAATCCACTGGGAACTTTAAAAGTCCGTATTCAGAAAATGTGCCTTTACACATCCATCAGGACTTAAATTCACAACTTTGTTGATACACAGTTTAGTAAATAGGTAAAAAGTGACACTATTAATTCTGAAATGATGATGCACAGACACAGAGAGAGCAGACATGGAAACCCGGAAAAAGATAGTATGACAACAAACAATGGGATTTATGAACATGTAAGCATGTTCACATTTTATATTAGAAACCCCAAATACACAAAACCCAACAATTATAGCACCCTGAAAATGTGCACCATATGTCCACCTATCATGCAAAATCCACCTTTTCATATCTTTTATACATAAACACGTGTCCCCTCTGTGTAAAGAGATTCTGAAAGTTTCAGGACAAAAGATTCGCTCACTTTTTGTCCTGATCCATTTATATAAAAACCTGTCTGAAAATCAGATTTTGGCCACTTTATGATGTCATAACGACTTTTTGGCTTGTGTAACCATTAGCCAATAACCAACCAAGGTAACCCCCCCCCACCTTATCACCTGAATCTCCTCCTAGAGCACCATTGTGTTCTTTTTAACCAAATCTCTCTCAGAGGGGCGTGGGGAGGGGCTCCTTATTTTCATCTAAAGTAACAGACACAGAATCAGCACTTTTGAAACAGGGCTGAAACAGAGGGGATTATGGGATGCTACAATACATTACCTGTTGGGTATTTCGAGCCAAACACTTCAGAGACATGTTTTGTATCTGAGACCTATAATATATTGATAAAAAACAGTATAATAGGGGACCTTGAAAGTGAATACAACTGTATAAAGGGAAAGGCCGTCACTGATTGGTGCATCCTCTCTCCCCCATCAGGACTCGCAGCAGGTAGTGGAGTCCTACAAGTCAGGGTTCGAGGCTCCGGGCGATGTGGAGTTTGAGGACTTCAGCCAGGCCATGAAGAGGACGGTGTCTGAGACCAGCCTGTCCAACTCCAAAGAGGTCAAGGAGAGGACCGGGGGCAAGAGCAAGGGCAAACTGTGGCCTTTCATTAAGAACAAGAACAAGGTAACACATGAATGCACACTCAACACCGACTTACATCTACACACACCTTACAGCAGAGCATCGCTGGTTTTTAGTGCATACTTTCCTCATCTGGAGGTCACGATGGAGAGATATCTGTTGGGTGGAGGGCTATGTTGTATTATGTTATATTGTTTCTGTCTCGTAAAACAAATATAAGTGTTTAATGTGACATTTGTATTATCTGTTAAATCTTTACTTATTTTATTTAGTTTCATTGTGTTGTAGATTCTTTCATTTTTGTAAAGCTCAACAATTATCTTGCTAGCTCTTGTTAGCATTAGCATTTTCCTTGTTATTATTTGCCACCCGTTTCCCTCCTCCCTGGCAACCACCCTCCCTGATTTATTGGAAACTTCCTTCTGTAACACACACTAATGCATTTCTACTGTCACCCTGCGGTCGGACTCAACTGGCAGTTGATAGCTCGATCTGAAATAACACAGTTTTTCTCTTGACTGGAGATCATCTCTATAGCCTTCCTTCAGTTTCCTGCTTCAGAACAGCAAAACTGATCTCTGACTGTCTTATGGGCTGGTTGCAATGTCAGTATTGAATTAGATCAGAGCATAAGTGAGTGATTGTGTCTGTGGGAGAGAAAGGCTGGGAGCAAGTGTGCCATTCCAGATGAGAAACTACAGCAAACAGCCTGTATGTGTGCAGAAAAGGGTGTCTTAAAAACACTGCTCATGGGTGCTTGATATACTTGGGAATCATTTTCGACACAAGGTTTTTAGGAGCACAGATAGCTATGAGAGGTATTCCTGTTTGTGCACACTTGCATGGCATAACAGAAACACTTGCAAAACTATAACATCATAGAGGTATTTCTATACAAAGCACCATTTCTGCTGTACAGAATCAGGGTTTTTTCAGGCTATTTTCTTCGTAGCGGGGTTCCTGACTCACTTGGCCATGCATGCGCATTGATTGGTGTCTCCTCTCTGCTTCTTGTGACACTCCACTACTTGATGAATTATGCAGTCAGATGTTTTAGGACAGCGATAAGCAATTAGATTTCTCTGATGATGACCTCAAATTCATATCTTTTGGGATGTGGTGAATTTCTCTGCTGGCATGTGATGAGGTCGGGAAAGGATTTTGAAAATGGAAGCCTGCATGCGCTTTGACTGAAGCTCTGTGCTTTGTTGCAGCCGCCCGCTTTAACACATTTGGCGCCTCCTAACCCCCTCTGGTGGTTTTTCTCTTTTTTAACTGTTTTATATATGTTTGACATTTTGTTCCATGACATAACAACTGATACACTGGGTTTGACGTACCTTCGGTTGTCATTTAATTTCTGTTTGAGTTTTCTATTATGTGTTTATTTTTTAATATTTGTAGGAGGCTTATTTATTTCGTTTTGTGTTCCCTCCTCCTTTTCCTCTTTTGTCTTTTTTCCGTTGAAATCTTGCCCCCTTCTTCTTCTTCTTCTATGTTTTTCCTCCTCTCCTCCGTCACCGCTCCTTCTCTTACTGGTAGCTTATGTCCCTGTTAACATCCCCCCACCAGCCCCCACCTGCCCCCCCAGCCTCATCCCCGCCCTCACCCTCTGCTGTTCCCAACGACCCCCAGTCTCCCAAGCAGCAAAAGGAGCCCCTCTCCCACCGCCTCAACGACTTCATGAACTCCAAACCTAAAATGCACTGCCTCCGGAGCCTGAGGCGAGGGGTAAGTGTGTGCGTGTGTGTGTGTGTCCGGCAAGCTTTGTGCATGCGTGTGTATCCTACACCTGTATCTGAGCTCTGAACCTGCTACACTGTATGGGCGTAGTCAAACAAAGGCATACATCAAAGTATAAAAAGCATCCTTTAGATTTGAAGGCCATAAATGCCTACATGGTAACATCAAAAAGCAGGGGATACAACTCTATTAGGAGTTACTGAATATATCAAAATGTTGTCATTGTGACCTCAATTTGAAAACAATACTTACATAGGCCAATTGTAACTTTATTTTAGAAACATTTGATACACTTGATTAGGCCTTTCACCTTCGCCCATACAGTGCTCAGCCTATTTGCTTCTTTAGCATGCTTCTGTAGCGCATAACTATGAATCCACAGTTCCTGTCTCTCCATCTTGTCCCTCTTCATATTAACTCACATCAGTCCCCCTCTCACCCCCTTCCCCCCCTCTGACAGATGTAAGCGAGACACCTAAAGCAGTGTTGGCAGTAGCATGGAGACTGCAGTAGCTCCCTGCGCACTTCCCTGCAATCTATGCTGGAGGCAGATTGTCGCTTTTTTTGCACGTGATGTAAGGAGTAGAATGGAAAGACGAGGGTTAAAGGGACAGTTCTCCCTAAATTGAAATATATGTATTTTTCCTTCTTACCTGTAGTGCTATATCTCATAACAGATTGTTTGAGTGTGAGTTGCTGAGTGTTATTGGAGAGGTTGGGACATCTAAATATCTGCCTTCTCTCTAATATAATGGAACTAGATGGCACTAGTGAGCCCAACAATACATTTGAAACTCAACAGAAATGACCTGGTTAGTCAAGATAATCCACGTACCTTGTTTTGAGCACCTTCATGTAGGAACCATTTTTTTGTACTGAACAACACCCACTCACAAGCGCTCACTAGGCTCTTATCCATAAGTAGATGCAGGTATAGTTTGGTAGAAAGAAAATAGTTCCTGCAGGTAACTTCTGACAACAAGGTTTGAGGATTATCTTGAGTAACCGGATTATGATTATTGAAAAAAATACATTGTTGTTACGTTTTTACAATTCATAGTTTGGCTGCTTTTAGCACTATACCAATATATCCAACACTCTGCAGCTACACTAAACACATCTACATTGATAAATAGCACTAGGGATAAAGGGAAAATACATATTTTACATTTTAGGGTTGACTGTCCCTTTAAGGCTCACACTATGAACAAAGTGATGGTTAGTGGGAATGGCAGCAGGCTGACTGAGTCACCCACCCCACAAGGAGTGAGAAGGCCGGAGTAATTTTAGAAGGCTTCCCGGAGGGTGGCTTTATCACCCGGTGGGTCCTGGAGGGTGTCAGCACCAGCTCCTGTTGTAAACTCCAGTGTGCGTTTGTAATGGAATTGCTTAGCCTGGGCAGGTCATATCACGCTTTCCCATAACACACTTCAACCCCCAGCTCTCCCTGACCTCAGGATTGGGCGGCGACTCACGTGTTCCTTCCGGACCGTTCAAATATAGTTTTTGTTTACCCTCATATTCTGAAAGGGCAGCAGTTGCTCAAAGTGAAAACATTTGTATGAATCGGGCTGACATGACGTCTGAAAAGAACAATACGTGTGTGCTAGCATATCGTGGAGGAAATGATTGAAGGTCGGCAGAAAAAAGGGAAGTGTGTGTATTTTTTCTAGCAGTGCACAGATCTAACAGGAAGTGCACGTTTCTGAAAGCGGAAGTACTGAAACAGCTCTCGAGAAGAGCGATAAAAAGAGTTGAATCAGATGCATTGTCTGTCGACTATACAGAGATTAAAAAGATAAAAGTTTGACCTTACTGTAATATTTCACAACACAGGAAAAGGTTGAAGGACTTTTTTGTATCGGGGAGAGGTTATATACTGTATCATTAGCCCATTAGAGAGTCAAAGAGTTCAATATAATCGCTACTCTTTCCCATAACTCATGACAAAACATTTATACAAGTCCCCCTTTCATGTCTCATGGCAGTAAGCGTTTTATGTGTTTTCATGTATATAGATGTTGAGTACTTTTATATGTGATATTTTTCTTTTTTGAATACATTTTATCATATGTCAGAGATAACTAAGTCAACAGAAGGTGCATGGTTAATCCAGTGAAATAACAACAAGTCTTTTAGGGACACCGGCCTCACAGACAGACATCTTGGGGTAATGCCTCTGAACAGCTGCTGGTGGAGATATTCAGATCTCTCAACCAGGCCTACATCCATCTGTGAAAGCAAGCTAACTAGGAACACTGTATCTGCAGTACTACAATATTTTATTTAGAGAAGATTAGCTTATTTTTAACAGGGTACAGGGTGCAGCTCTTGCAAAGCCTTATGAAGCTTTTATTCAGTTTTCTCTGCAAAGAAATCAGAAAAGTATTTTTAAAAGTCTTCATTTTGATTAACAAAGATCTTAAATATGAAATACGTTGCCTGCTTCAGTAAGTAAACCTACTTATAATAGTTTTGTGAGCTGTCAGGAGACATTACAGCGCTCATTGTGTCATTGGATATTAAAATAAAAAATACTTTTATGAAACTTAACATAAAGGTCCTGCTAATTTTTATATTTTATAATAGGGAGTTATTAATATTTCCTCCCAGGAATTGAGAAAGTTCACATTGCAAGTTCACATTGCACCTAACTTTTTTTTAATCATACTTACAGTCCTATATGTTGGCCTGTATGGTAGTGAAACAGGCATTACATTGCATTTTTGTGCTATTAAATGGGGCTCAACTTCCTGCCAAAACCCTTTTTTAATAATTGAAAAAGCAAAATGAGATATTAAACCGACTTTTTAATATTTTTAATATTTTTTATGCTGCAGGTAAATCAAGAAAAACATCTATTGTATTCCTCTCCCACCTCCTGCAGGGGAACATACTGCAGAATCACATTAGGGGATTAGAGTAGTTGTGCAGGTGGAGGTGGCGTCTCTGCGCGGTGGAGGGATGTTTACCCCCCCCAGGAAAGCCTTCATGTGGCTGTCTAATCATCCCCAGTATCTGTGTATGTGCGCGTCTATGTGTTCTGTTTGGGAGGATAAAGAGAAAGCATATCGTTTGTGCTTTGGCAGTTAAATAAGACCGTATACAGTATAAGATCTTTAAGACAATATTGACAAAGCTGTGTTTTCTCCGACGACCACCACAGCAGCAATCCCCCCGCGCGCTCATTTGTCACAAAGAGCTTATGAAGAGGACTCTGGGGCGACCCACATATGCTTTCGAAGCCAGGAAATATGTTGTAAGTGTGTGTGTAAGATAGGCATCAGTGAGTACCAGCA